AAAAGAGCTGTATCATGGTGATTCCCATGCGATGGAATAAAGACTTCTGGAACCATTTGAAGACATAACCCTCTGTTTTTTGGGCAACATTTTGATATAGCATGCATGCTACATTTCTTTGGATTTTCAGTCAAAACACTATTCTAATTTTAGCTGACTATTTGGCAACATCAACATTGACTTGACCAGTGTTTGATAACGCTCCTGTCTTTATGTGGCATTATGCATAGCTCTGCCGTTACTGGAATCTTGAACGTACCTTGAAGCCAACGTCATGCAATTAAGGGGGCGCAAAAAGAAAATGAAAATAATTAGTTATCAAAATTAATGTTACACATTAGCCAACATTGCTTTTTTTTTCTTTCTTTTTAATTCAAGTAAAATAATCTCAGCTGATGAACACTGTATCAGGCCAATTTCTTTCCTTCGAGGTTTTTTAGGAGCCAGAATCTGAGAAGCAGCCATCTGATGCGTGTGTTTTGTTTGCAATGTTAAATCTCTGGGTATGAAAACAGGCTTACTCATGAGGCTACAGCCTTGGCATGCACTGGCTACCCTGCTGATAAGCGCCTGGTGAATGTCAACTGAATGAGGCACTGAATGAGCTACAGGGTAAAAATGGCTCGTCATTAATGCGGCCTCAAATGAGATACAGTATGACTCCAAATACGATTTTAGAGTTTATGCCACAACCCAGTCGAAGCTAATTAGAAGTAAGATAGCACCAACAGATTTCACAGTTTGACAGATGAAGGTTTAAAATGTAGCTGCTACATTAATAGAAGATCTTGTGCTTCAGTGGGTTTTGAGAAAAAGTAACACCAACTAAAGGGGAAACAGAAATATGCAGGCAAAATGATAACAGGATGACATACTGGTTTAAAAAAATATATTTTACAGGGAATAAGAGATGCACTTCCTAACAGGTCAATGTTGGGTATCCTTGAGGAAGCCCATGGGTTATTTGTTTTTGTTTCAGTTATTACCCCAGAGTTTAGTTCAAGACAGACCTTTAATAATTCATCTGTTCTGTGAATTGATTCCATTCTTTTTTTTTTCTCTTAGTGGATCCAGAGACAAGATAATTTTGGTGAATCCTGAATTGCTCTTAATCAGCAGCAACGCCTAACACTGGTGAAGGCAAGAAGCAAAACATGGCATAATGCTCTGTTCACCTCATCTCTGGCAGTGGTGTTACAGTTGATGTAAACTGCTTAATTGTGGTAGTTAATCTAATGTAGTGAGGTATATTGTATAAATAAATGTTTTTCATTTTATGTAAGCTTGATATTTTTGACTTTTTCTATTATCCCGCACTTACACGCATTTCTGAAAAGCTCCAAAACTTGTTACACTATTCCCAATCGCACCTATAATCAGATTAAATTTATGCGTTTGCCACAAGAAAAGCGTGTTGAACACACCCCGAAAAAAAAAAAAAAAAAAAACATTGCTCAACTATTCAAGTATCATTTGTTACATATTAGGAGCCAAGACAAATGTGGCTAAAGAATGGAAGTTTTAAGTGACAATGGAAAAACTTGCAAGTTGTTCCTGTCACTTTTCAAGTAAAAGCCTACAAAGTAAAATTCTTAACCCAGACATGGCGCAGCTGAAGATAACTTAAAATAACTTCTGAAATGCCTTAACAATGCTGTTAAAAGAACAGCAGGCTTGATTACACATTTAAGGATTATGTGCATAGCTGTTTTAAGATATTAAGTAGTTAGTCAAAAAAGGACATTTAACTAGGAAAACAGATACCAATCACACTGAGGAAGACAAACTTTGTTGTGTGGGATAATAACACTTCCTAAAAAAGTCAAAAGCAAAAAGTAGGCCAACTAAATTAAATTTAAAAAAATAACTCTGTACACAAATGGCACATACAGTAGTTCGTCATTATCACTCCATACATTCTTTCTTTTTGTGAACAAAAAAACAGTTTACAGCTACTATTATCTAAGGGCTTCATCCATTTGTCACTATTCCCATCCATTTCTAAACATGGAACTAAATGTACATAGCGTTTAATTAAAGATGTAGATCCATTATGTTAGCAAATCTGAGTTACACAGGACGAGAAGGCAATTAAGTCTGTCTACACCTTAGTGCTCATCTCTGTATCTGGAGGATGTAAGTAACAACCCTGCCACCTACTGAAAGGCATCCTTTAAATTAACTCCTCACGCTTCACAAAAGGTTAGATGAAAGAATTTCTACACTTACGTGACAAGATGTTTAAAAACATGGCTATTAAGATCTTCTTTATCAAGCTGACAAGTCACAAGCAAACAGCCATTTAATACAGACAATAACAGGCTAAGGTGCCTCAGACAGAACACAATTCAAGCAGGTACTGGCTTCCCAAGGTCACTGCCACTTCTGTGGGGATAAATAACCTTTCATCTTAATCTCTGTAGCATCATAAAGGAATCACATCAAGTAATGACAAATAATGACCGGATCTTTACCACCCAAAAAGGGAAAAAATTTTTTTTTTTTTTTTTTTCCTGCTGCTAGAGGCTAAAATTATGGTCCTGGCTTCATAGGGATTGAAAATGACTTTTCTGTTATAACTGTAGGCAAACTCTGAGTTTATTAGAAATATTTTTCAGATAAATATTTGCTTTTGCTTTTCTTAAAAATTATTTTAAAAAAACAGCTATGAAACATTTATTCTTCTTGCTGAAGAAAGGAATTTACATTTTAAATTATGAGCATGTCTCTTAGGAATACCAGGTGAAAAGGTCAAAACAATTGGAAATCAGTTAAGATAACCGAGACACATGTACATGCACACAAACAGAACGTCAGTTTTCTGCTATACATAAATATTCATTTTCTTGCAACTGCAAATAGGACGAAGGTCAAATGGTCAAACCACACTGTGACATGTCTCTACTCCATTCATCCTGTCCAGCTAAATTCAGTCATTTAACAAAGATTCTGTCCATCACTGTGTATCAGTCTTTCCTCTGATATACAATTCTGGTATTACTAAATATACTTTTAGTATCTTTGTACCATAAGACCTAATGGCATTTACCAATATAATTTAAAAATAGAAGGGGAAAAACAATGTATGACTTTTAAAACTTTTCAAGGTGAAGGACACCAGCTGATGTACCAAAGTTCATGTTTTTTTATGTTTTAATGTTGGCTGATTGGAAGTCTTGGCAGGGGATTCATTAAAATGATAATTTTTTATTTGTGAAATCCTTTAAAAATTAAAATACTCTCTGTGTACTGTTTCCTATTAATTAACTTTGTTCCTCTAATATTCTCTTTTTCACTGCTCAACTTTTCTCTTTACTTCCCACTGAACTTGACACACTAATATGTTATGAATAATTCTGTTTCAGTTTAGACTGCAATTAGCCACAATGCCAGAAGCCATTCTTCTTTCTCTCTGTGGTGATTTAGGACCCAGCTGAGATAGGGCGCTACAGCTATCACAGGACCACATCATTCACTTCAACCCACCCAGAACTGAAACAAGAAACAACTGAGTAAATCTCCTTTCATTGATAACAGGAGAGTGTAAAACAAAGACTCTGGAATGGTAATAAAAAAAAAATACAAGTATAAAGGCAACGAGTTATTTAAAGAGAAATTTATGCATACTTTAAAAGAAGACCATGAAGTATTAACCAGTTTTCAGGGTCACAAAATGTGATAATGAGGTGATATTATGACATGTTGTTTCTCTCCTGTGTTCCAGCTAAAAAAAAATGCTAATGAGCCAAAAGACCAAATGGAGATTAGCCATTTTTTTTGTAGCTGGAATTGATACATCAGCCAAACCAAAAAGCTGTCACTAGGGAGACTAAAATACAATAATTACATTCAAGACTGAGCAACAGGCAAAAATGTCCTCTCTTGATTGTAGTTAATTATAGAATTATTATAATTAATAATGTCAACAGCAAAATGGGGGGGATATGGAAAAAATGTGTGAGGTTTAAGCAATAGTAAAACGCAGAGCAACAAAGGTGTCTTCAGTGTCTGACTATGCAGACCAAGAGATTATGAACAGAAATAAAAAAAGCCGTAGCTAAATAATGTCAAAGTGGGATTGATTTCTTTGTTCCAGCTGTTTTTTTCTATTTCTTTACTTTTGAGCTGATTTTAAAAAGAAATCAATTATTTGTCTGAAACTTCATATTGATCTTCACATTGATATCAACATGAGCAGTTTTTCTTTTAGTTTATATAAAATTATCAACAAAATAACTTCATATTTTCTATGTTATGCAGGAAATACTGGCAAAACAAACAGAAGCCAAACTATGGAAGGAACAATAAAACATCATTCTAAAAATAACCTCTGGATAAAACATATGCGGCAAACGTGATATATTTTGTTCACCTGCTAGCTGTAGGAACATTAATTCCTTTCTAAAAAAAAAAAAAAAAAAAAAAAAAAAACATCAGTTTACTTGGAACATCTTTTGAAATGAAATGACATCACACATAGCGCTGTTTTAGCACACTCGAAGATGTTTTATAATTAAATCAGTCATTCTCATTCACACACACATTCACACATTGATGATGGCAAGCTAATGTTTTCCTAAGACACTAAAATAAAAATTAAAAAAAAACACCTACTGCTTGCTCTATTTTACAGAATTCAGACATGTTTAAGCTAACCATTCATGCAAATTTGGTTAGCAAACATTTACAATTTTTGTTTTTAAATCAAAATCTATACTGTTGGTGCACATACGTACCACCATGAACACCAAACAGTTTTTACCCTCATGTAAAAATTTAAAATGTCACGAGTGAAAAAAGTTTTTTTTTTTTTCTTTTTTTTCCCTACCTTTGGGCTCTCACTTCCATCTTTGTTGTACTGTTGGACCTGTTGGCTTTGAAAAGTCCCTCTACATAAATTCAATGTTCCACCCAACTATTCTGTTTTGAAATATATATTTCTCCTTGAGGCAAGAAGGATTTCTGAAACATATAGTAGTCAATGCAATAATGTTACTCACACATAACTGTAAGAAAAACATTTCCTGAAGCCAGGACAACCTTCTCCCTTGTTGCCCGGTCATAGATGCCCACATGGCATTCATAAGGCCCATTGTCTGAGATCCGTACCTCTGGGAGCCTGTAAAACACAAGAGAAACTCTATGAATAGGTGCAAATCCAGTAATAAAAGAGAAAGACAAGCATTTGCGTGTTGGGTTAAGTAGATAAATATTCATAAATACAACACAACAAAATGCTTTAAAATAGCACAAAACAACGAGAAAAGAAAACAAGAAATAGGTTAGTCTGACAGCCTAGTACCCAGTAGAGTTCATTTATTTCACTTTCATATTTCTATGTGGTAAGGATTTTTGTGTTTAAAAACACATAAAAAACTGCAAAAAATAAAAATAAAAATGTGATTGTTATAAGAATGCAATTTTGTCTACCAAGGACTCAGGAAACTTTGTGTTGTCCAGCAAGACAAAGTTCCTCCTTATAATGTCAAATAAATATCTTTAAATATCTTTGTTTATTTTGTTTGTAATGAAAATACCTTTAGACACAAAGGGCTAAAACATTTATACAACTAAAAATGCAGCTTTAGTTAAGCAAAAACATTATAGAGTTTAATTTCGGCAAACATTATATGAATATGTGGGATTAAGAGACTAGATAAATCCTAAAGAGAAATAAAATGTTGTAATTCATACTGTCTAAAATTTACTGAAAAAGTAGTTGTAGATGTGATTGATGGCTGTGGGCAAGAAGGATCTTCTGCAGCCGTCAATACTACAGTTGACCTGATAAAGATTTTGAAGACACTTGGTTGTTGTATGTTTTGAAGAGGATGCTTAGAGTTGTTATTTATTCTATGAAGAATTGTTCTTTGCAAAATAATCTCCAGAGGGTCCAGAAAAATCCCTACAACACATTTTCGTGTCTGATTGTTTATCTCTTTTTAAGTCACTGCTGCTGATGCTTCTACCCCACAGAAGCTGGCAGAGGAGATTATGTGCAGCATCTTACTACAAACAGTGAAGGACTTAAGTTTTCTTAACCCTCTGATGCGTAAGTGGGTCCTTTTTGACCCGGCGAGGTCATCGTTTTGCAATATCTTTGTAATGAAAAGTTTTCATCACTTCATATTCCAGGTATTC